TGTCCATAAACACCAGCAGCTATAATTGCTTGAGCAGTTTTATGTACATCAACCGCTAAAAAATGAAGACTTTTGTCAATTGTACTAAGTGCAGATTCAGTAGCAATTAATCCAAGAATAGCTACAGTTGCTGTAACACGATTTTGATATAATTCAGAAATACGAAGTTCACGAGCAAGATTCAAAAAGAAACCTTGAATAGCATGTTTTGTTGTACCTTATTTAAATAAAAAAATTTCTTTTTCATGAATCTACATATTAATATAATAACTTACCATATATAGTTGTTTGAGGTATTGGACAAGTACCAGTTAATGATGACATTGCAATTATGTGAGATGGTTGTTCATATGTTCCATTTTGAGCTAAATGAGGAAGAGCTGCCATCGCTTTAGAATACAAAAAATAGAAATTATCATTTCAATTCAATTTCTATTTTCTTACTCGTTTGAAAGTATCCAAAAAAATTTACATCAAACACTTTTTTCATATTTTCAATATTTGTCTTAATATCACATTTAAAAAATGGTTCATAAACTGATGTAGTATGATTAAGTACAAGTATATCAATACCTTGATAATATTCAATTGTTTTATTAATTAGTTCAATACATGCAAGTTCACTTGATGGATCAAATTGAATACATTCAACTTGTGTTGCACCTAATGAAAGACATTTTTTAGCAACTTGATTTTTTAATATATCAATACTACGTGCAGCTAATATAAGACGACAATTATAACGTGCATACTCATAAGCCAATTCTTCACCTATACCACGTGATGCTCCAGTTATTATTACACGTTTATTTCTTAATCGATTTTTTCAATCGGTGGAAAATAGAAATAACTTTTATAAATAAAATAACCAAGTCCATATATGACGACAAAAAGTATGAGCAATATGAGTATACCAGTCATGTTACGAGTATATATTTGTCCTCGGTTCAATAATTTTAACTGTATTAGTCATCATGTCGCCATTTATACTCACTTTTTGTCTTTTCGTTTTCTTTCTGTCTCTTTATTATATAAGAATAGTTAAATGCTACATTAACAATAAAGACATACAATGAAAAAAAGTTCCTTTTCTTTATGTCGTCATAACTACCCTCCGACATAAAAATATGTTATCAAATAGAGTTCTCCAGATGTCGTCTAATTTTGAATGTATACTAGCGACGATTAATCCTTTATCCCCTCAAAATGATTCCGGAAGCGCTACTGATAAAATAACTTTATAAATAGCGTACTAGCCTGCCTAATATGTCAATTACATGCCTTGATCTCCCAAATGTCCATCTCATCATATAGAGCCACTGGATTGATCTCGTAATCGTGTAATGAAGAAAGAGAATTGAATGCTATACTAAACCTTGATTTTTTTTTCTTTGAGTACATTATTGAATGAACAATAGCAACATCTATCTCATGTTATTGGAGTAATGGAAAAAAAAGGAAGAAATGAACCGACCAAAAGTGGTGTCGAAAAAGTATATGTTTTTTTTTGAGCTATTTTGTTAAACGAGCATCTACTTTGTTGTAAGTTATATTATAACCTCTGAAGATATTTAATTCATGCTAAACATTATTTCAACTACTCATGAGTTGAAGTTTATAATATGTATATATATTAACTTTCCTCTTGATTGCCTTCCAGCTACCTAATAGGGGGCTCCATGATTACTTATATTCCATAGCGTATGTAAGTCGCTCACTAATCGTGAAGCTTTCGAAATACATCTAACCTAATAGTGGACTCCTGCATCGATTAATATACCACAGAAAATCCAAAAGATTTCTATTGACTGTAAGTAGAGAACAAATTGTTTCGAAAAATTCGAACTTTTTCATTTTTTTTTCAAAATTATCGACTTTGTAGGCCCGATATTTCGAAGATGGAGCGATGGTAAAAAACATCCGTTTTACCAATGGATAGTCTATAAAGTTTACTACAAGAAATGTTCGTTCCAGTGATCGAGGGGAACTAAAGAGTTAAAATATCAATCAGATACAACTACGTAGACTAAATTATTCAGTAAGATAATTGATGATAATCACATTTTCGAAAATGTTCAATGCATCATATTGCAATGCAAAATTAGGGTACTCGTCGTTTTCGAACGGAGATAGAATTCTAGTTTAGTTTTGTTTTATTCAGATATAAAACTTTTGTTCTATTTGAAATAGCAAAATTTGATCGAAATACAATATTATCAGAACGTCACTAGAATGATCGCGTATAGAAGGAAAAAATTTTCCAAGAAAAATGATCATTAGGACCTCCACTGATTGCTTAAGATTATCGTATACAGTTATTGTGAATCTTGTGCAAGACGTCATTTGCAGTATCTGTAAACCTTCCTTTCACGAATAAACTAAAATAGTTTTATGTAACACAGTTTACACTGTAAATGCATTGTGACTGACTCCAAACAAAGTCTTTTATGTTTGTCGTATCCACTTTATGATATGCTAAATTAGATAATCTCATCTGTTCATAGCATTCCTTTCTGAATAGTTAATATTCGATGTGAAAAATATTTATCTTAACGGTAAGATTTCTGGAATAATAATAAGAAATAATAAAATTATTGAGCATTGATCAGACAAGTCATTTATTTATTTATGTTATACAGATGAATCAGACTTGATTTTTAATGAATATTTCGAAAAGGTATTTAAACAACTCAAATTATTTTATTTGATAAGAAGTCATATAAAAAAAAATTAGGGTTAAAATTAGATTAAAATCGGTTATAATCATACGCTTTTAGTCGATTGTTAATCACTTGTGACCCAATTTCAACCAAAAATAACCGAAAAAGTCAAAATTTTTGATTAAAACTGATTAAAATCAACTAAAAGTGTATGATTATAATAGATATTATTCTGATTTTTAACTCTATTGTTTTATGACATGAGTAGTTTTCA